CCCACGGCTCGTTGGCTTGTCTGTGGTGATGCCAGACTTGTTGGAGTATATCTCGGTGGACGTCAAGAAGTTGCAGCTTGAGAGGGTCTGTGTCAAGCCTTTCGGAAGTCCTTGTCCAGGACGCACATATATGCCCACTTCCCGCCATCGCTGTCTTCGCCGACAATATGAAGTGGTATACTTTCTACTGAATTTCCAGTTATGTTATGCATTTCCCTTCATAGTTTTCACATGGATTGTTCAGTGTTGCAATTGGCCATTCTTGTTTACATGATTTAGTAGTCGTTATGTTTTTGTGCTCAGTCATGGGAAAATGAACATATTTGTGATCTGTTGCCCTGTTTGTTGCAATTGCTGTTTTAAGAGAATCGTACAAAAGAAAATATCTTTCACATAGCTCAAGCTTCCACTATCATTTTAGGAGTCGTGAAATCAAAATATATCTGTTCGCAGAATAGTTTTATGGCCGAATGCAGAGTAATCCAAATATAGATCCAGTATACCTTTGGAGTGTTTACTTTCACCTCTAGAAATTAGTTACGGTTAAGGACTCATCTTGTCCACTTTCTTCTTGTAAATGTAAGGATGTAGGGAAGTTTTTCTTTTGGTCATCTTCACATTCATTTTTCCTTTTCTTGTGATGATGTTGTTTTGAAAAATCTCTGTAATTACTGTGTTCACAATTAACTGCCTGAGTGTCTGCTCTGTATAATAACGAAAGAACAGTGTGTGCGCCCACTATGTGATTTGGATCAGTCTCATAAATCAGTTATAGGCTTCACATCTTTCATTTTTTTATTGTGGCTAGAACCCGTGATATATTTCCTTAAGTGACTTAGCTAGGTACTAAATATTCGAAGTCCTGCAACACTATAATGGCCTAAGATTTCAAGTGCTCGATTTCTTTTTCTGTACATGCCAATGTGCTCCGAACTGCATTGCAAATTACAGTGCCAAACATACAAAAACATCGTATATTTCAAATACGGTGGGTGCCATGGCAAGTTTACTGTATACTAATCTGTATGCGCTACAGGAGTTTAAATGCGTGAGTATTAAGCTTGGCACCCCTGTAGAAAAAACCTACATAAGCCACTGAGCATTACTGATTGAACGAATGCTATTCCGCTGCTTGTGGTACTACGTACTATAAGTTGCCCAACATGTGTACCTATAATGTGTTCCTTTTAGCTTGTAAGCTCTTGAATATGTGTACAAACTGGACCCAGAATTCTTGTCTGTTTGTCTAAACTTTCATCTTGTTTGTTCAGATTCAAGGGAGCCGTAATCAGATCAGCATTCTCAATTCAAGATGACTGGGATTTCAGTAGCACGATGGTTCAGTGGACGTCATCAGCTTTGCCTACAGGATGACGCTATCCACATTGCTTTGCCTGGTCATGTCTATGCTTTGGTTAATTACAATAGCATCAATATGGAGATTTTCTTGGTCTGAGTGTGGCAGTGCTCATGTCTATCTTGTGTTCTTCCTTTGATACCTAAGAATTTTGCATTTTAAATTAACGGTCCTGATCAATCAAGAACTGTAGTAAATCCACTTTTATTATTTATATTGACTGTGTTATGACGCAGCTGCTGCCAATGCGGATGAACAGACATGGCAGCGAGTGGCTGCTGCTTGTCCAAGTCCGCTGCTCCTTTGACGGCCAATGCACCCTCTAGTTTGTCACCGTAGTTGTCATATGCACTGCCGTGCAGAAATCGTCTGAAACCCATCGTGTGCATAGCAGCAACTGGGCTTGTCATGGTGGCCATGGCATCGTACCGCTCATACATAACCATTGCCTCCTGAGTCCTGAACTTCTAAAAGCTCCACTATCTTTAGAAAGTTGCCTCTATTGTTGCCTATGGCTTAGAAGACTTAGAAGCAACCTCTAATGGTCCAACCCCAAACTAATCTGGTGTGTTTGGTAGCCTGAGTTAGTGTGTTCGGTATTGAAGTGGCAACTGCTTGCATTTCATTCGATTCTTTCTCCTCTCTCTCGCCAAACAAAAGCCATACGTTTCATTTCCCTTTGATAATTTAGATGGTTGATATCTTTTGAACTGAAGTTTTATTTTGTTTTTTCATATATTTTAATTTCTTGCAACACGACATAGCACAAGACCGATCTTGGATACATTTTAAGCTACTTTAAATTTCATTATTTCAATCAACTGAAAAATATGTTAAATATTTTCTGAATCGAGTGAATATGAGTTAACTAATTTATGAAAATGATTTAATTGTAAACAACAACATTTAAATTTATGTGAAATTTCACTTTCCTTTTCAACATGTCAAAACAAAACACCAAACAATAATTCACTAACACATTCAAATACATTAGTCATTTTTTACCATTTTAAAAAGAAATCAAACTATAATGCATAAATATTTCACTTAGATTTCACACATATTCCAGACAACTATTTCGCACAATCTCAGCCCTTTCGAATATTAAGTCCATAAATATTATTTCACTCAATTTATTTTTTAAAATATTATTCATAAATATTCACACATATCTTAATGATTTAAGTTGTATCTCATTCAATCACGAAAAACATTCCACGTGCATATTTCACATACATCCACAGATATTTCAATCAATTATTTCACACAATTTTAGTGCTTTTGAATATTAACTCCATTTATTTGCTTTGAAATATTATTTCATTGTATTTCATGTTTTAAAATATCATTCACATATATTCACACATATTGTTATTATTTTAGTTATATTTCAATCAACTATAGAAAACATTCCACATGTGTATTTTCACATACATTTCATTCATATTTCAATCAATTATTTCACACAATTTCTCTCCTTTCAAATATTAACTCTATTTATGTGCTTCCGTATATTATTTTAGTCAGTTTAAAGTTTCAAATATTATTCATAAAATTCACGCATATCTTAAATCATTTAAGTTATATTTTAATCAATTACACAAAAACATTCCACATGCATCTATCACAAATATCAACTAACTTAGCTAGATGTTACCAATTTTAGGAGAAATTCAAAACAAACTGCACATTTTAGGAACGTGATTAGTAATACTTCGTAAACATCCAAGCTTTATTTCCCCAGTCCTACAATCGCATTTACATTTATGTCGTTTCACTCATTTGCAATGCTTATTATGACTTTGACTAGAATAAGCTGAAGTTATTGAAAGCTAAAAAATGCTTTCAATTTTATAGACAATATTTTTCAAGTATTTTACTCACATTCCAATGCTTATTTGTGAGTTTAATCGAAATATGAGTGAAATAAATACATGTTTATGTTATTTCACTCATTCTAGTGTTTATTATGAATTCTACTGAAAAACATCGAATTTGTTGAAAGCTAACAAATTATTTCAATTTTATAGACATTTCAAATAAATATTAAGTATTTTACGTACATTTGAATTCCTATTTTGTGAATTTATTCTAGGACGGCTTCTTTCGCTAACTCATTCTAGGACGGCTTCTTTCGCTAACTAGTTGACTCGCTCAATGGGTATTCTGTAATCAATTGACCGTTGATGCTGACCTTTGATCGTTTGCTTGACTGCTGAATTTTCAAAAAAAAAATCATGAATTTGAAAAAAATTGTGTGCTTGAAAAGAAGTTCACGGATTTGAAAAAGTTGATTTTTTTTGGGAAAAGTTCATGAGTTTTATAAACGTTCACAAATTTGAAAAAAGTTTGTGAATATGAAAAAAATGTGAGTTTGCAAACAGGTTCATGCATTTAGAAAAGTTCATGGGTTTGAAAAAAAGTTCGCAGGTTTGAAAACAGGTTCACTGATTTAAAAAAAATCATGGATGAAAAAGAGTTGCTGATTAAAAAGAAGTTTAAGGCTTTGAAAAAAAGTTTATGAATTTCAGAGAAGTCATATTTGAGAAAAGTTCACGAATTAGGAGAAGGAGAAAAAGGAAAACAGAAAAAAAAAATCCATTCTATAAAAACCATCCAAAATACCAGGGAACATTCTAGAAAAAACCAGGGTTCCTGACTCCTAATTCAGCGGCGAGGGTTCCTGACTCCAGTTCAAAAAAAAAAAAAAAAACCAGGGTTCCCCGCACATCTCCGGCGGCCGCCTCCT